GCTGCGTATAATAGACTCTTGTCGTCCGGCGTCTTCCCCGGACCTTGCGGATAGCGGGAGCTTAGTGCACCGGGCTGCCCCTTTTTAAAGAGAAAGACAAGCTCACATAATCTCGTATGGACTCTGTATAAACTTGAAAAGGACAGTTTGCCCCGCTGGGAATTTGTTTTTTTATGTTTCTTTTACCCATTTGCAATTTTAGTTAACCTTTATGGCTTTTGGAGCATTTTGTTCTTCTCCAGTTTGGCTAGCTCATTTTGGTAGTTGGGTCAGGACTCAGTAGGTAGATATTCCAAAGACAAGACTGAATTTTAGTATTCATGAGATGTTACTTTAATGAGGATGCTACGAGCCAATATGGCTGGTTTTAGAGTTGTTAATGGAAGATGCATGTGGTGCTCTTTTCTCTTTATTGTTTCAATGGAAAAGGGTAAAAAATACCCTTCTACTATGCGAAAAGGATTATATATACCCTCTGTTATACTTTCGGCTCATCGTTGCCCCCGACGTTATAAAACTAGTGCAAAGTTACCCTTCCTCCGTTAGGCACCCTCACCATGAACAACATCTTCCCATGTGGCCTAACATTTCGTTGAGGTGGACACCATGTGGCATTGCCACTTCACTGCCCCAACCTCCCCACTTCTCCCACCATCATCTCCCCCTTCACCCAACCACCGCTACCATCACCCCCTTATTTAGTGTTTCATCTTACTTATTGTAATTGATGGAAAAACTGATCTTTACTTCATCCTTTAAGCAATTAACATCCACGTGAAGTAATCTATGTATGTGCCATAAGTAAAACCTTTAGGGTCGTTTGGTAGGATGTATAAGAATAATAATGAATAGAGCATATTAGTAATGTTGGGACAAGTTATGCTGTGATTAGTTATGTTGGAATTATATCTTATCAACTGTTTGATTTGATGTATTAAAGGTTTTGAAAGGACAATTTATCTTTATATATGCTTATCCATGTATTATAAATCATGGTATTGCTAATGCCGTGGTTTGCTATGTATAAGAATAGTACTGAATATGGTGTATAATTAATATAAATATTGGTTAAACATAGGTTGAAAAACACTACCACACAAGGGATTAATAATACCAAAACTAATATATATATATATATATATATATATATTATTGCTCTAATACATCCTACCAAACGACCCCTTAAGGAGCTATGGCAGTTATCCCTATCAACCACAATCAAATAAGCCAAGTAATGATATGTTCTTAGTTGAAGGATTTGCTACAAAATTGCTTCTTTTGCTTTAGTACTATCACAGCCCCAACCATGGAGAACCCACCCGAAAATTACAGAACAAACGTGGGCATTTGTCTAATGACCCCTTCTAATAAAAAGGTCTCTCTATTATTTACATTTACAGAGTAATCGATTTATATATTTTATTTGTTTTCTCTTTGATTCAGCTATTTTTAGTTTTAATCTAAATTCTGCAGATTTTGGGTTTTCAAGGCTTGCTATACCTAGTGCTTGGCAAATGCAGCTGGTAAATTTTGCAAATTTCAATTGGGTTTGGTTCACTCTTTTTTGTTTTAATTGTTGGAAGTTATATTTGGATTTAGACGGCATATTCATTTTGGCTGGAGGGGAGGTGGTGGTGGTAGAAGAATTGGGGAAGGGGGTAAATGGTTGGGGTGGTGAGGTGGCATGCCGTGTGGCCGGCTACCTAGATATCAAGGCACATGGGATGGTGTTGTGCATGGTTGAGGGCCCTAACAAAGGAGGGGTATTTTTCTAAAGTCGGAGGGCAATGATCTTTTTCGCATGATAGAGGGGTAATTTTTACCATTTTTCCTTGTTTCAATTATTGCAATTTCCACTCGTCTCATTTGGATGAAATGTTAGTATGCATTTGTGCTTTAGCCTCTGATTACTATTTTCATGCTCCAATTCCTATCCCACATTATACGCACTAATTATAGCTTGTTTTCTGCAGTGTATTTGTCCTTTGCCAACCATCAGCCCTCTGCCGTCTATAACACAGAGACATTGAGCTGCCCTTGTGTTCTGATTATTCTTACTTTTCTTACGCCGTTGTAGCTCATGTCCATAGCATTATTTTACAGGACTGATGTTTAGCAAGTCGCTTATTTCTTTGTGCTGCTGAGGCTCTGACCTTGTAATTCTTGCTTAACTGGAAAAAAAGGAAACTAAAGATGTGATATTCATATTCTCTCTAGTTGGTCAAGTCAGCTTATGAATACACGCCTATGAAATCTTGGTATTTGTTTAACGAAGTTTCTCGTGGAGCAGGGTTTTAAGAGACAAAGATTTTGTTTGTTAGAGCTTCTAAATTAAGAAGCTTCCAAATCAAGAAGGGAAGATCCTATGAGCTTCATAGATAAATACAATAGCTCGTCATAGCTTTGAATAATCCAGTAATGGAGCGATTCTCATTCTCCTGCCTTTGGAAAACAAAAATCAGAACCTCTTGTTAGATGGAAAAGGAAGAGACTCTCTGGTCTTTAGAGGACCAGCAACAGCAATAATAATTGAGATGTTTATTGACCACCCTTTGTCGGAAAATGCGTATATAGGTAAAACATCAGGTTTTAGAGGTACATAATATATATTGAACCCTTTGTCGGGATTTTGTTCCTGGCTTCGCACTGCATGTGATGGTTTTGATATGTAGTTTTTTCCCTTTTGTGTTTGTAGCTTTGTATACCGCTTACATGTTTAATTGCTTCTGTGATGTATTATATTGTTGGTGAATGTCTGAGAAAATGATAGATGTGTTTTGTCACAATGTGTTATATTTTGATGATCCGCATTTTATAGTAATTCAGTAAGATAGGTTGGAAACGTTTGCTAGTAAGTCATGCTAATTTATCAACATTTGAAGGCAGTTTAATGATAATGTCAGGAAGGTTCTCGAGTAAGTTATACCAATTATGCGTGAGTTAAAGTAATTTTAATAATACATGCAGGAGATGGTTGCAAGTTAATCTTACCAATGCACCATGACTTCATGGCTGTTTGGTAACTTGTGAACAACTGTACAATTTAACCAAAAAACAAAAACAACAAAATAATGGTAATGATTTTTGAACCCACACAACTGGAAAGGTTTATAGGTAAATCTTGCCAATTCGATTTGACTCAATGTTTTAAAAGACTTTT